CAAATCACAAAGAAGATGTCTTTTTTTCTCTAAAGGAAATATATCTTATTTAAGAGGTCTCGACCTCCTGCCAAAACTCCAATTTCACTGACCCTTTTCGTCAGGACTTTGTTGAGACCTTCGCCTTCCCTTGCTATGACTCAACATACAACCAAAATACAAAAAAACATCCTCGAGGTCCTGACCTCTGAGGTTCGCCTGACCTCCTTCGTCAGGACGTAGAGAGACCTCGGCTTCCATTGCCAAGGCTCAAACAGTCAAACCTCGAAACCCTGGTTTCTGAGGGTGCCTGACCTCCTTCGTCAGGGCCAAACTGCCTGATATCCTAAATCCTAACTTCCTTCGTTAGGACCTGTATCAGGGCCTTTGGGGTGCGTGCCACTCACACAGCTATTTCCTCCGCACGCCTGGAGGGGGGTCCTCTTTACCCCTCTGGAGGCGCCTCAATCACCAGTTCCACTCGCTTCCCCCTGTTCCCAGCCGGCCCCCTCGTGGGGGTGCGGAACCGCGGTACTGAGGGGTCCTCACTGGCTTCGAGGGGCCGGGCTGCCGACCCTCGTCTCACTCACACACACTCACTCACCTTCCTCTCCCGCCGCCGGATATGCTCACCAATCCGAGCTTCTGTGAGTACCAGTCTCAGTTCGGAGACAAATTCTGGGAGAAAAATGCTCTAAAATTACTGTTTTTCTCTAAAGAGAGAGGCTTCAAACTCCCCTTTCTTCTGCCAATGAGAGAAAGGGATGCCTGGGGTTGAAAGTGAAAAAAAATAAATGTTTTATTAACAAAAGAAATTTTTTTAAAAAAGGTGCCCACAAAGCACAGTGGGGGAAAAAAAGGAAAAGGAAAAGGAAAAGGAAATATTTTGAACTTTACAACACACCCCCATCTCACTGCATGGCAGAGGCAAAGATGGCGACCGCCCTTCTTTGTCTATGGGGACGGGAGGAGAAAAGAGTTCACAGCAGCTGGGAACCTCTTGAATTTCTGGTGTGGGTCTTCTCCTTGCAGCAGCCGACGTTGGGGTCTCGGGTTCGGGACGGTCCCGCCGGCTCCCCGGACAGCCGAAGAAAAAAAAAAAAAAAAGATTAAAAAAAAAAAAGCAGCCGAGAGGATTCCCGATACAGCCTCTAAGCTAGGCAATGAGAAGGGAAAAACCTTTTTGCTCCACGCGGAGGCGGAGGGGGGTGGGGCGGGGGAGACAGATAACAATCCAACAAAAGGAACAATGTAGTCTCCCGGCCCACCCTGTCCGGAGGACCCAGAGGAGAGCTTGAACAGAGCCTGTGCAGGAACCCAAAGCTCTCTGCCCCACACCCGGATCCATATTAAAGCTGCAGCACACATTTTCTGGGCATAAAGCAGACGCTTAGGGAAAAAAGCATCATCATAAAATCACCCCAAGGCAGTACCAAATTCCCCAAAAGACAAGACACATTGGAGGAGGGCACAATGAGTGGGGTTACCTTGTGTGCTAGTCACTTACTTTTTTCTGTCTTTCCTCCAAATACTCCTTACCAGACGACTCTCTGTAGAAATGCATGGTGACTAATCAGACTAGTGATCAGATGCAAGGCTCTGGGTGGAAAGAAAGTTGGCCAAAGTTAGAGAAAAGCAGCTTCTTGCCCGTGAGCAAAAGGAAACAGCCCTTTTCCAGAGTTGTGTGTGGAGGGGTGAAGGAGAATGGCCGCCTCTACTGTGTGCTTGGATTATAGGTGAGAGCTGGGTCTTCTGGGTGCAGAAGAGTACTTTGTGAAAAGGCTTTCTTCAGCCATAAGAATCTTTTCTTGTCCATCAGCATCTGGTATCTTTGCAGGCCTTAGTGAGGGAGTAACTTGACCACAAAGGGTCCTGTTTCCTCTGCAGAAGATTTGTGTGGCCTGGCAGCAACCAGACAGTGTTGGGGTGGGGGGAGTCCACAACTTGGACACCTACTTCATAAACCTTGTCTTGCAGCATTTGATATACATGCTGACACTGGCTGGTGCCACTTGCTCTCCTAGGAGCAGAGCTGGTCATATGAGTCCTTGTTCAGTCAGCTCTGAGGGATGGAAAAACAGCAGTGACTCTAGGAAGATAGGTCTCAATTTTTCTCTAGAAGCTGCCTTTGGGTGTTATGATCAGAAAAGGTTCAGCAGAGCATAGGGAGCATGTTGTTTGAGTTCATAAACTCATGGAATCCCAGTTTGGAAGAGACCTCAAGGATCCAGCACCAACCCTTCCTGGCAAAAGCACAATCTAGACAAGACTGGCCCAGCACCCAGTCCAGCTGAATCTCAAAAGCGTCCAATGTTAAGGAAACCACTATAGGATACACAGGACAACCCCGATGAAGGGAGAAAAATATGCATCCAACTCCATTGATATCAGAAGGGAAATTAATTATTATACTATATTATTCTATACTATATTACACTACATCTAAACTGAACCTGTACAAGCACTCAACTCCACTGAACCGAATCTCGTGACTGTCTGCTGACTGACAGTCTGCACACATGCTTGGCCCTGATAGGCCAAGGAAACAAAACACCATCACTTTGGGTAAACAGTCTCCAGAATACATTCCACAAGAGCACAACATGAGGAGCAGCAATAAAGATAAGAATTGTTTTTTCTTTCTCTGAGGTTCCTCGCTGCAATTCCCAGAAAATATCCTTGGGAAGTTGTGCTTTGCTTTTCTCTGTGAAGAGAAATGCGGCCATGATCCACTACTTCCCTGGGGTGATTATTCCAGTGTCTGATTGTGTTCTCATTGTGGAAAATTTTCCTCTTCATCCAATTGGAACCTCCCCAGGAGCAACTTGCATGCATAAATGTGTCATGCTCAAAGTTTCAAGGTCATCCCTAGCTTCCTGTGACTGATGAAGTGCATTTGAAAGGATGCTGTCATTTGGATTTCCCGCTGTTGCCAGAAAGATGCTAAAATGGAGGACATGGGCATCCTGGATCCTCAGCATTGCTTTGCACCTTGTTTCTGTAGTGCCCTGCCACTGTGCTAAGTGACATGGTTAGTCACCGGTGAATGATGAGGAGGGGGAAAAAACGTGAACCAAACCAGCCCTGAAAAGACACATCAGGTGGCACCATACAAAACCAATCAGAAACTGGTGTGGGATTCTATTAAAAGCTGGAATTCTATGGAGGAAAAAAAAAAATCATTCCTTGTTTGTCAAACCTTGTTACATACAGGTAAAACTGTATAAAAGAAAGACCTTGTAAAAAATAGTTCAGTCCTTGCTAGTCTAAGCTAGCCTATTAAGTTTCTTTAAGAAAAATTATAAGAATGAGAATTAGTTCGCATAACAATCTATTCTTGCAAGAAAACATTTTGCACCTAAAAAATAAGTCTATCCCATGAGAATCTGTGAAGAATGTAAACACATCTAGAAAGAAAAAAGTTTGATGGACATGTACACTAGCCATTACCAACCAATGAACTGAATTTCATTGGATTGCTGGCTAACTAAATTCAAACATGATGCCTTCTGATACCATATAAAAATGAGCTGTGTGCAATAAAAATTGGGCTATTCCACACAAAGAAACAGGTGTCTTGTCTGAATCAATTGCAACAAAACCCTTGAGGTTTTTTGCTGTGATTTTAGTTCTAGGGATGCAATAAGCCTTGCTGCCATGATAGGTGTTCATTCTCACAAAGGCACTGACACATCAGACTGGAGAGCACAGAGATGTGCTGGTGCCTTTTCTGCCCAGGGAAGGTAAAGGCCAGGACCTTTCTGGTCCCACACTGTAGGAGTGTGCCCCTTAATGAGAGAGTGGCAAAACTATCTTTTGTCCCCCCAAAAAGGAAAGAAGCCCAGAAGTTTCTCTCAACACTTAGATGAAAAGCCACCTCATAGGACCTCAGAGACTTCACCAAAACCTTGAGGACAGCTAATTGGATAGAAGCCAAAAAGTCCCACCTGAACCATCAGGTAGAAAAAGAAGAGAACAAAAAAGCTAAGAGCTTTTGTGAGGTGTTTTTACCAGGAGCAGACCTCTGCACCTGGCTCAAGTTTTTCTGTTTGTTACTTTGCCTTTTATTAAACCTTTTTGTTTCTAACACTGCAGCAGAAGTCATCCTGCTTATTTTATGCCCCCAAAATAATAGCTGAGCTATCCTTGGGTGTATTATATTTCTTTTGAGAGCTTATGAGGCCTGGCCCAAGAAAAAGAAATATAATACCACACCTTTGTGTGGGAGCAATCCCTGGATGTGTTCAAATTTTGGAGGTGGAATCAAAATTTGGGAGGTGGGCTCATGAAGAAGAAGGACAGTGCCTTCCCTTCCTGGGGGAGGAAAATACCCAGGCCCAGGGTTGGTGGGGCAGATGTTGGGCCCAGGGAAGGTAAAGGCCACTGACAGCTTTCTGCAGTGCTCCACAGTCTCCCCAGTGTTCTCAGGGTTCTCCTCAGGGCTCCCAGTGCCCCTCCCATTGCTCCCTGTCTCCTGCACTGCTCCCAGTGCCCTCTCCAGTGCTCCCACATTTGCCTCACTGCTTTCCAGTGCTCCTCCTTCCAGTCTTCCCCAGTCTCTCCACTTGGATGGTGGCAATTTGCTGGAGAGTGACATCCCAGCAGGCATCAATGGTCCCATGGGTGATCATTGCTCCCCAGGCATGTCTCCCTCTTGGTTTCATATCATCTGTGCCAGGAAATGCACTCTGGAGATCTCCCAGATATCTGGATTCTCCTCCTGTCAGGTACCAAGGGAGGGTGGGGGGGCTTGAGGGCTGGCACAGGTGCCCCATGAGGACCAGGGCTTTTGAAGGAGCCTCACCTACCTGTTCCTCCTGAAGAGCAGGTACCTGCAAGCATGGCACCCACCTTGGGCTATTCTGCTGCTCAGTCCCACCCTGAGCAGGAGGCAAAGAGGCAAACCCAGTTCCTCACCCTCCTGAAGAGCCCATGTTCCCCCATGAGGCCCCCCTCCCCTGTCCTTATCCCCATGGTCCCATCACACTCCCAGCCATTACACAGCTTCATCACCAGGCCGAGACCACTCAGTCAGGTGGGAACAGAGGTATTTATTTTGTATCCACAGGTGGACCTCAGCAGGTGAGCAGCCTCCCAGCCCCATCACCAGCAGCCTCTGCTGCAGCCACAGCTCCAGCCCCAGCCCTTCATGTGCTGGACCAGCACCTGGAGCTGAGGTGAGAAGGAGAGAGGGAGAGAGGTCCAATCAAACAGGCGGGCAGAAGGCAGAGAATTTCTGCAGGATTGGCTCAGGCCATCAGATCACATCAAGGTGGCCATGCAGATGCCTCTGGTGATTTCCCAGACCATGAGAAGGTCCCTGGTGCAGCTGAGGCAAAGCCAGGTTGGGCTGAGACCTTGGGTGTCGCATATAGGTGTCCCCACTCAGGACAAGGTATTGTGGGGTAGGACTCTGCCAGGGAAGGACATGCTCTCAAGTCTGGGAAGGGGACGTCCTGCCATCAAGGTCCCTCTGTCTTCAGCCAGGACTTTTCTGTCCTGCATGGGAAGCCAATGCTGGGTGTCCAGGTGGGTGCTAGGGGAGTCCAGCCCACAGCAGCCTCCAGATCCCACTTCTGTCCCCCAGAGCTGCCTCAGCAGGAACACACAAAATTCCAGTCCTGTGGAGTTACCTGCAGAACTGCCTTTGCTGCTCCTGCCGCCGCCGGTTGTTCTCAGCCAAAAACATGAAGATGTTCCTCCGTGTCTGATGTGGCTCCAGCCCATGTAGCACCTGGATGGCTCGTGGGGAAAGATGTCTGCAACAACAGGGAATCATCATCCCAGAGCTGCCAGCTGCCTCTACCCTCACCCCACCCTACACCCACACAGTCCCACATCCACCCACCTGGACCCAGGCTGGAATCTCTCTGCGATTTTCTCTGTGGGGAGGGGGGTTCCAGCTGTCCCCCACCTCACAGTGACCCCCTTTCGTGGGGGCTGGGATGGACGGTGTGGAGCCCAAGCATCTCCAATGCTGAATACCTGCCAAGGAGGGGACACTCTCAGCAAACACAGATGCCACTTCCCAGAGGACCCCTGGATATGTGGGAGCCAGGAGACTTGGCACCCCACCATGGCTGATGGCTGCTTTTGCCCCCCAGAGTTCTCCCCTGTGGGACATATAGGTAATTCCCTGCCCTGCACCTGGGCAACCCCCAAACTGTATCCCTGGGATGTCCATCTCTTTGAGTCCTAAGAGTCCCCTTGAAGGCCCAGGACACTCTAACCCCATCTGAGTCCCCTCTCTTAATCTGGGTCCCCAGGGACTCCTATCACCTGGGGTCCTAAGAGTCCCCCCCAAGTCCCCATGCACCACCCCCAACTAGCCCAGGAGTGCCCAGAAACCCCCTGGGACAGCCTAAGCCCTCCAGAAACATCCAGCCTCTTTCCAAGGGACCTGTCACTTGCCTCATCAGTCCTTTGTGGTCCCTCCTGACCTCCAATTCCACCCTCTGTGCCCCTGTCCCAGAGGGGTTCTGTGACCAGCCAGGATGACCTGACACAGAGGGTCTCTGCCCCTACCTGCGGCATCTTTTGGTCCTCCCCAGCAGCCCAGGCTTCCCATGTTGCCCATTCTGCCTTCTGTTCTCTCCAGTGGGAATTCCCATGTTCCCATTCTGCATACAGCTGCCAGACCTCCTGGAGGTGTCAGGCATGATTAGGCTCAGCTTTTGAGGGGCTTCCTTCAGGTCTGACCTATCTGGCACATACCTGCAGTGCTCTCTGGCAGTTCTCAGAAGCCAGGAGTGTGATGTCAGGCCTGGCTGAAGGAGCTAACTCCTGCCCACCTGCCTCTCTCATCCTCGGAGAGCTGGCTGGGCATGGGGTAAGCACACTGCAGAAATACCAGCAGTCATCAGCATGAGCGTGGGGCAGATAGGGAACCTGTTTCCCTCAGGGCCAAAACTCCACAGGTGTTCAGAAGAATGCGGGAGCTAGGGCTGTTCCCGTGGACCTTCCTAAGTTGCTACACAGTCCAAGTGTCTGAGGGGGATTTCACCCAGGGTGCAAGGATCCCTCCAAACCATTCCCACAAGAGTTTCACCTGGCAGGTGGCTTTGACCTTGGCTCTTGCTGCCTTGTGCCTGGCCTCTGGTATGGCAGCACAAGGAGGGAAAACTTTCCAGGATGCTCTTGCTCCCCTGAGAAAGAAGGAAGCTCTTGGGAGCAGTCCATGAGGTTGTGTGGTCACAGATGTGATCACCCCATGTGTGACAGAGCAGCAGGAACCCATTCCATACCTGTTCTGACCCTGTGTTTCTCTGCAGCCTTTGTATATTGGGTGGAAAAAGCATCAGACACAGTAAGCTGAAACCTGGAATCACAGAATGACAATATCCTGAATCGGAAGGGACCCACAAGAATAAGTGAGGCTAACTCCAGAAGAAAATGATGCCACATGCTTGAGAAATGGCAGACCCCACACCCTGCAGGCAATGAAAGAACCAGAAAATCAAGAAAATGCACTCACCTGGGGAACATGTGGGCCTGTGCAGCCTGCACCCCCTGAGCAGTGGTCACTCCATTGTTGACACCAGAACCTGGTATACTTAGCCTCTGCAGAGTGACAGGGAGCTGTCAGGAGATTTCCATGGAGAAAGCAGACCGGTCTCCTACTCCTATAGGAGCCACTTCTCCAAACTCCTCTTCCCAAATCTCATTTGTTAACATCATGGAATCAAAGAACCAATAAGACTGGAAGAACCCTTGGAGGCTAACAAGTCCAACAATGGCTACATCCACATATCTCTTACATTCCTCCATGGTTGATGAGTCCACCATTGCCCTGGGCAGCCTATGTCAGGGGTGGACAGCCTCTTACATGAAGAAATTTTCCCTAAAATCCCACCTAAACCTCTCCTGGTGGAATTCATCTTCTGTTATCTGGGAGAACAGGCTGACCCCACCTGGCTTCACCCTCCTTTCATGCAGATGCAGAGAGCAAAAAGGTCCTCCCTGAGCCTCCTTTTATTCAGGCTCAGCCACCACAGGTGCTCCTCATGAGACTTGTGCTTCAGACCCTTTCCCAGCCTCTCTGCCCTTCTCTGCGTACTCTCCAGAACTTCAGTATCCCCAGATTTGAGCTCACCGTGAGCAGCAGAGCCACCCAGGTGTCCTGACTCTCCAGTGCTGCAATGCAGCTGCAGTGGAATTGCATGCACAGGACATTGTCCTGGCAGGACAGGATGCCAATATTCTCAAAGGTGAATGCAGGGCGCTGCCTGTCCCTCAGCTGGAAGGAGTACAAGAGAATGGTCTCCTCCACACAGCCCCTCACCACGTCAGGCGAGAGGGAATTGGTCTGGGACAGCCACCAGTAATCCAGTGGCATGATCACGATGTCACCTGCAAAGAGGAGAGCATTGTCACTACCACAGCTGAGCAAATTTTCATGTGAGATTCATGGCAAAATGTCAGAAAGACAGGTCAGTCTGGGGGCAATTCAAGCAGTCCTCCAACTTTGGAGGCAATTCCCCCCTCCCCCAGAGAGCAGAGCACACAGTCCCCCCTAATGTGGAGCTAGATCCCTTCTCACCAGGGATCATCACAGTTGGGAACACCAGCTCCTGTAGACAGGACATGTCCATGTCCAGCTGGAACACAGGTCTTCGAACCACATACACCTCTTCTGTGCTGTTGATTTGCTCTGGGACCACAGCAAAGGTCCCAAGACCTGGGACAAGAACACCCTGTTCAGGAAGAAAACAAAACAGTTGAGATAGCTGTCACATCCCAGACCCTTAAATCCAGGGGTTAAACTCAAAGTTCCTTTACTCTAGCTGGTGCAAAGGAGAAACCCCCACCAGCTATATTCAAGAGGTGAAAAATCACACAAAAGAAAACTAAGGAAATTTTGGCAAATGAATAAATACACTAACAAATTCAACATAAAACCACTTATCAGTCATCCCATTACTTAGCATTTACCCAATAAGGTTCCATGAAAAGAGGATTAGAAGGAGAGACAGAGACAGAAAAGGTACAGCAAAACACACCTATAGCTACCAGCTCCTGGGTTCCCCCAGAGTCCCAGACAAGGCACAGTCCACATGCTGGCTACCTTGTGGTCTGCCTGTTTTAAGTCCTTGGGCCTTTGTGGGCCCATGCCCCAGGCGGAACTGCTGGTTCCACCATGGGCTATGATTGACAGCCCAGCTAGGGGCTGGGGGCGGGACAGAGCATTGCTTCACTATGCAAAGCCTGGCCTGCCCCTCCCATCAGACACAGACACTGGCATTACAAGTGCAAGATGTCTCAAGACATTGTTCTAATCCAGTCTCTGACAAAAGGAAACGTGAAAACTGTGGGGAAAACCCATGTTCTCCATTTTTTTACTTTTCCTCTCCAAAATATTCACAAAAATTCCTCAGCTAAAGAAGAAACCAAGCCATTCCAACTCAAGGAAAGATTCCCATGGATGATCCTTGCATAGACCCAGCAGGATCCTGTATCTCTCTGCTAGGTCTCTCCACCCCTGGCCGTTCAGGGTACACTAGGATGAGTTCTCCCAGGGTGTTGCCATGATGCATGGGGAGAGGGACCACAGGAGTCCAAGACAGCAGCCAACCTTGTCCAGCTTCATCTGTCCTAGAATGTAGGCAGACACGACATCCCAGATGGCCACCACCTCTGGAAAATACCAGAAAGAGGCGTCAGGTTGCACTTGTGGCATTTTGAGGAGCTCTGTGGAGTGACAGATGGGGCTGACAAAGAGTCTGGACTGGACTGTGCCCCTGGTTCTATTCCCCAAGGGAGTTGGGTTCTCTCTACTCCCCAAGCAGGGCTGGGGCAGAACTGGGGGTGTGAAAAGGCCTCAGAACCAGGGCTGTGGTCATCTAACCCCCAAAAGGAGATCACAACCCAAAATCCAGCTGGCTCCTGAGAGCCTAGTAGGAGCTGTCAGACCTCCAATAAGAGCCAGAAACTTGAGAGGTCAGAGCTCCCACAGCTCAGAAGCTGGCTCTGGTAGGGGGACATGCTGTGCCCATGGGACCCTCACAGCAGCCCCAGCCCTGTCCAACCCTCCTTCTGGCCCCTGGGGGGCTCTCAAAACCCTTACCTTTGGTGGAGAGACACAGGAGTGTGGGGAACAAGTAACTCTGCTTCTTGCTGATGCTGATGGTGCAGCACCCCTCCATTTGTTCCCCAAATGATCAGCCCCCTGCCCTGCCTGTCCCTGAGGGCCCTCCCATTAAAACTCCCACACCCACCAGAACAACCCCCCAACCCTGACTGAGGCTGCAGGCAGTGCCCAGCATCCCCCAGTTGTCACCATGGGGGCTGCCACCTTGTGATGTCACTGGCAGACTGGGGAGGTGCATTGTGATATCAGCAGAAAGATGGCACCTTGGAGATGGGGGAGGAGGGTTGTGGAAAGAAGAGCCTGTCCTGGCCCACCTCAGGTGTCGCCATGTGTCAAGAGGTGTCACTGCTACTGAGCTGGGTTGCCTTCCTAGAGAAAATCATAGCTAATATCCAAAATAAACATATAAAAATATAAATTTATCAATAATATCTATTAAAAATTATGAAGAAACTGTTTTCTGGGCTTTTTTTTTTTTTTTTTTTTTTTTTTTTGCTATGATGTATGACAGATTAAGGGTTTTTATCCTGGCTCACACATTTCCAGGGGTCCTCTACGAAGTGGCACCTCTGGTTTGCTGAGGGTGTTTCTGTCACTATTGAGTTAGGGACGGCTGATAGAAAGCAACATTTGACTCCATGCTCAGAAGGCAGAAGAGCAAATTTTATTAGAACTTTGTGGTATTCACATTCTCTGAACAGAGAGAGATATAATTCTCTCTCCCAGGATTTTTCCTGGGGAAGGCAGTGAGAAACTCAGAGAAGAGAAAACAATTCTTATCTCTATTCGCTGCTCCTGTTTTTGGCACATGTGGAATGTGTTACGGAGATTGTTTACCGAAGGTGATGGTTGTTTGGATTGATTGGCCAGTTGGGTCAAAGCTGTGTCATGGCTGTCTCTAGACAGTCACAGGGTTTTCTTGAGTATCTCTTTACTATAGTTGTATTATCAGTGTAATATAGAATAGCTTAATGAAGCATTTCTTCAGCCTTCTGAAATCATGGAGTGAGAGCACATTATTCCTTCATCGGGGCCTGCTCTGCATCAATAGAACTTCACATTTTTATAGGCAAAATCGTTCACCCAGAACTTCTGAGTTTTTACATTGCCTGAGAGATGCAATGCATCGCCATACACCATTAGATCCTGAAACCAAGATAGGGATACAGCAGCTAATAAATTTATTTTTAGGGCGATCTATGGGAGATATCAGGAGGAAACTTCAGAAGCTCCAGGAACCAGAGGGAAGGAATTTGGAGGCCTTGCTAGATGAGGCATGGAGGGTTTTCAGCAACAGAGAAGAAGGATATAAGCAAGGGATGAGAAAGTTAATGGCAGTAGTAAAAGAGGAAGGTAAAGGAAGGCGGAGACAAGGACCACCTAGGCAAGGAGTGCCACCCCAGCTGGGCAAAGATCAGTGTTCAAATTGCAGAAAATTTGGACACTGGAAAAACGAGTGCCCTGAACAAAAAAGAAATGGGAAAGGGAACCAGGGAAGGGAGGTGGTGGTTGCTCATACAAAAAGCGACTGAAGCGGACCAGGGGACCTTACCCCAGGAGATCCACTGGTTATAAAAATGAAACTGGGGAAGGAGGGAAAAGAGGTGGAACTTATAGTGGACACAGGGGCAACATTTGCAGTTTTAAATAAAACTTTGGTGCCAGGGGGAATGAATATGTTAGGGTAAAGGGAGCAACTGGCCAATCTGAAATAGCATATTTTTGCAAGCCACTCAAATACAAATATGGAAAACAGTGGGGCATCCATAAACTCTTATATATGCCCAATTCCCCAGATTCACTCCTAGGGAGAGATTTCTTGGAGAAGCTGGAGGCAACTATTTTGTTTAAAAATTGAGAGGTTACTCTGGAATTGAATGAGCAAAAATATGTAGAAGCACTGAGTTTAATATTGACAGCTATTAAAGCTAAAGATGAAATTAGTGAGGAGATCCTGGATCAAGTGTTTCTGGGAGTATGGGCCTCCAATGTACCAGGGAGGGTGAAAAATGCACCACCAATATAAATTTAGCTTAGGGAATGAAAGCAACTGGTTAGAATGAAATTGTATCCTTTGAGGAAGGAAGATAGAGAAGGAATTAGCCCGATAATTGAAACTTTTTCACAGCTGGCATTATTGAAGGAGTGCCAATCTGACTTCACTCCTATCCTGCCTGTCTGAAAACCTGATGCATCATACCGGGTTGTGCAGGATTTATGGGCTGTTAATAAGATAACTGAGGATCTCTACCCTGTGGTGGCTAACCCGTACACCTTGTTAACGTGTTTAACACCAGAGCTAACTTGATTTACTGCTTTAGACTTGAAGGATGCCTTCTTTTGCCTCCCTCTCCATGAAGCCAACCAGAAAATTTTTTCATTTGAGTGGCAAAATTCCAAAAGTGGACGAAAAACTTAGCTCACATGGACAGTCCTACCCCAAGGATAACAACTTGCGAAGGATTTGGAATCCTGGGAAGTTCCATCAGGAGAAGGGAAAATATTGCAGTATGGAGATGACATCCTAATAGCTACCTCTAGAGAAGGGTCTGTGGCCTGGACCGTAAGCCTTCTAAACTTTTCGGGGCTTCAGGGATATAGAGTATCAAAGAAAAAGGCTCAGGTAGTAAAACAAAAGGTGATCTACCTAGGTTATGAGGTCAGTGCTGGACAACAGACCTTGGGGAAAGAACGCATAGAAATCAATATACCAAACCCTGAAACCCCAAACAATAAATGAGCTGAGACCCTTCCTGGACATGACAGGATGGTGCAGACTATGGATTTACAACTATGGAGTACTCATGAAACCTCTGTATTCACTCATTGCAAATGGAAGGAGAGATCTTCAGTGGAAAAAGGAAGCCACATAGGCCTTTGGTCAACTGAAAAGGGGTCTCATGTCAGCTACAGCTTTAGGACTTCCAGACGTGAGTACACCATTGCCGGGGTCGGCTGTTACTTGTCTCTGCCCCAGCACGGGAAAAAGTGGTTCTGGGTAGGCCGCGCTCTCGAAGAAGGAGTCTGGACTCTTGCTTTTAGGTCTTCAGTCGAGTTTATTATTTCTTATCTACAAAGATTTTCTGTCTGTCCAGCCGAGGTCTGATCAGCAAGACAGCCAAAGGCACTCTCTCCCGCCCACGAGGCGGTTGTCTCTTTTATAATGAAAATTACGTATTCGATATTTACCTTTACTTCCCAATACTTTCTGCCCTTGTTGGCAAGTGTACTCTTTCTATGAACCAATCCACACATGCCAACATCATCCTGAACATGGATGCCAAGGAGAAGAAAGAAGAAGGACAGGGCACGCCCAAATTCCTCCATCTTGGGACTCCTGATCCATGCACAGAATTCTAGACCCCCCTGTACAACACATAAAAACCCCCAGTACAGTGCGTTCTAACTTAAGTTCTAACAAGTGAATAACATCCCCTCACCATTCAGACATGAAATTCTCTCATCTCCTCACTTTCAGGTGTCATTTCTTTAAAAGGATCAAAGTCAAGCCACCAGGTACTTTTGGCAACATTCCAGGGCCTCCGAGCCCCCCAAGGGTTGTCTCAGTAGGTCTGGACATCTGGAGTGATGTACTGAGTTCCCACATCTCCCCCTTCTGTTTGCACCAAAAGCACCCTCTTTACAACTCGACTCATGACACCCTGCACACACAAAAGAATGCATGGAATTACAATCAAGAGGACTATGAGAATTACCAAAATTTGAAACCCTATCTTTAAAAATTCTTTTCCCAAAGGTGAAAGATCAAAAAACTTCGCCATGTCTTCAATCCAAGATCCAGTGATCTCACCAAGTTTCTTCATACTCTCTTCTATTTTTTCGATATTTTCATGAATTGACCTGGAATGGTCAGAGAGATTCATACCGCACATCCCTTCAAACTCTTTGCATCCATGGCCGTGAGCGAGCAAAAGATAATCGATTGCTGCTCTGTTTTGCAGAGTTGCCTGTCTTACACTGTTCATGTCTTGCAACATGTCACTCAGTGCAAGAGAGACTGATTGAGCATGCTTGCTCAGCCAACAACCCATTCGATCCAATTGAGTCAAAGCAATCCCCGATGCTGCCTGAGGTGAGAAAATTGCTATCGCAATTCTCCTTGCCTTGCTCCAAGTGTAAACCCTGTCATCACAATTCTCATCAAAATGCTGTAAAGATCTTTTTTCTTTATGTTTTTGTTCTCTCTGCATCTTTAAATCTGGTGTCAACATTGAAATTCTTCCAATGCTGCATGGACCTCCCTTGGCATTCGCAGGAATACCATGCCAAATTCTGTCTCCACAAATCAAAAAGAATCCCCTTGGCAGTTGCACTGGGTCTTGGAGTGACCCTTTGTCTGTCACCATGGTGTTGTTGCACCAGGCTGACGCATTTCTGTAGAATTCATGACTGGGAGTAACATCAATAGTTTTGTTTGGCTTTGCTGTACCTGAAATTTCAAATTTCATGCATACATTCATTGTCATGGACCCGAAAATCTCCAATTCCTGAGGTTCGGAAGAAGCCACAGGAAGAGAATGTGTCCAAGTATACCATTCATTCACAGGATCTTTAACAACCTGTGAGATCTCGATTGCAGTGTGTCCTGGAATTGGCCATTCATTCACTGGCAATCCAATCATGCATGCTGAAAATGGCCTCCCTGGTCTGGAGTGCGTCAGGCAAATGCTATCTAAATCTGCTGCCTGGGCTAAAACCTCCCAAACATTCTTTTTTGGCTGATTGACTGGTAAATTTGCTTTGTTGTTCAAAACCATTGGCAATGAGACAAAACACATGAACATTGCAAAGTTCATCACCCCACCTTTCTGACTAAATATCACCATTTTCCACCCAAAGTTTTTCAGAAAACCCCCAAAGTTTTTTATTCTTCTGTTTCTTCTAGATTATTGCTTGTAGTTTGAGTCTCCTCCTCCGTTTGAGTACTTGTCTCTCTGTTTCTGGGATCTGTGTTCTTTTGTTCTTGCGTTCGAAACGGCTTCACGTGTCGTGCCGACACCCACTTCGGAC